AGGATATCTTCTTCCTCTGCTCGTCAAGCTCTGCCCTATTAGCAGTCTGATCTTGCTTTCACAGGGAGGACAGGGACTGTTTTCGTTGCTTCCCTCCCTGCAAAACTGTCTTCCAAGCTCTCTTTTCTCCTTTATCTCCTTTTATTGCTCTCAAATTCAGTAAGCAGCCCACCTAATCTTTGAGCTGACTGTATTTTGCCGCATGGTGAGGGATAGCTGTGGACAGCACTTGTATTCATGAGTTTAGTTCATAGAATCATCAAGGTTGGGGGAGATATCTAAGGTCATATAGTCCAACCATTAACCACTACTGTAATACCTAAACCATATCCTCCAGTGTCAAATCCAAACACCTCTTAAACACTTCCAGGAGTGGTGACTCCACCACTTCCCTGGGCAACCTATTCCAGTGCCTGACCACCCTAACAGTGAAAAAACTTTTCCTAATATCTAACCTGTGTTTCCTAATATCTATCCTGTGTCAATTTATGGCCATGAACATGAACTGAAGGCATGAGTCTTGACTTTTGCAGTCTGTCTCTGTGGTTCTGAACCCACATATTTGTGTCTAAGCAAAATTCTTAATAGATAAAAATGCAGTTGCCTTTAGTGGCATGTTGCAGGGGGAGTTTGCTTGATGTTAATGTAAAATTGAAAAAAAAAGTCTACTGGTTATATTGTAGTTCTGTGGTATGAACAGAAGTACCACATCTATACCACCATAGAGCTAGTATGAATGTAATGATGCTTGTTGCAGTGAATTCTTGGGGAAAGGTTTGTTTGGGTTGGGATATTTTTGCAAGATTGGTGTTAAAAACACATGCACTTTTCTCGCTGAAAAATTGGATATGTGGACTGTGCCTTTGAGGTTATGGCCTTTAAAGTTAGAGAAATTTTTTGTAAAGCGAGTAAGAAAATAATGTGTTCATTTTAAAGAGATTGAAAAGTACCTGCACTTCAAAGATCATCAGGCCTGACTTTGCTGTGGATGCTGTCATCCCTTCCCCAACCTTAATCAGCACAGCATTCGGAAGTAATTTTGTTTGGAGCAGCCCATTCTTTCTTTTAGAGTTGTTTCTATTTGGTTCCTTTGATATGTGCTCAAGAGGCTGAGAGACTCAGGCATAATCTTGCCTTGTAGGAAGCCTAGATCTATTCCAAGGTTCATTAAAAATTGCTTTCCTTACATGTGACTTCTAATCTATTTAATAGGAGCTTGCTTCTTATCATCTTGCATTACTATCAGTGGTAGGTACTTGTTGCAATGACTGAACTTTGCTTTCCAGACAGCTGCCTTTCTGAGTTCATGGTTGTACAGTGGAAGATGGCAGAGAGATTTCCCTGCCTTCCTGTTCCTGGGGAAAAAAAAGAAAACTTTCCAACTAACAGCATGCCTATGATGCCCTGCAGGGTTTGGATCCTGGCTGGTTAAAGGGAGGAGAGCTAGTCCTTTGTGACACAATGACACTATTTTTCCCTGTAGGTGTGTGGGAACTGGTGACCTGACCTTCCAGCAGACCAAGTAAAATCCCACATCAGCCCTTGCCCTCGTGTGGGCTTGTGAAGAAACTGAACTTGCTGCAGGTGTGGACAGGAAGGAGGCTTGAAATCAGAGCTCTCTTTTTCCCACCAAATCAACTTTTTTCATCCCTGACAGCTAAGGGTGGCTGCGGTAGCTGTTTTAGTTGAGTCTAATGCTTGTGATTGCTTTGGACAAGAGCACGTTTATCTTAATTTTCCTCAGAAATCCATACTGTGCACATTTAATACCATGCTAAGACTTGAGGGACTCTGGTTCCTTGCCTCTTTCTAAGCATGCTGTGAGAATTTCCTGCTAAAGTGTGATTGTCTTGGGCTCTGTGGATGTCTTGGGGCAGGTGCCTAGGGCAAAGGTAGCATTTCATAAGAGTGTCTGGTGGGGCTTTATGCCATTTAATTGCATTCTCAGAGGGGAGAGAAAAGGAGGCAGAGAAATTTGTCTCATCACCAACATGCGTGCATTCTCAGAGGGGAGAGAAAAGGAGACAGAGAAACTTGTCTCATCACCAACATGCAAAAACGAATAAGGAAACTATGGCAGATCCTGGGCTTTAGAAACCTGTCATGTTTGCTGTGTTCTTAGAGCATCAGCAAGTTCTTAACTTCTCTTTTAAAAAATCCCAAAGCTTCTGCTTTCTGGAGGTGCTGAATACTTCTCAAAACTGGGACATGCAAATTTACAGTATTTGCAGCTCAGTCATGCAGGTAGTTTTTGTAGCCAAGTAAGAACAACTGCCGCAGTGGGAATGCACAGCGCTCACCCTTTCTGCCCTTCTGTCAATCCACAACTTCAAAGACTAGTGGAGATGACTTATGAAGATGTTTAAGATGGTTTGAGTAGCTTTGGCTTTTAGGCTCACAGGAAATTGTAAGAGTTTTCTAATTGCTTTAGTTATTTATTCTTGGTGGAGGATATCTAGTGGTGTAGAGATGTAGTAATAGTGCCTCAGCTGCCAGGTACAAATTATTTTTATTCTGATATTCATATATTATAGCCACTGTGTATAGTATTAGCAGGTATATATTATATCAATTCAAACTATGTTTTCATTTGTCAGGAGTGTAGTTTAATTTTGCCTTGTTAGAAGCAGAAGTCAATATTAGAGGTAACAAGGGATCTGACTGGTATGTGGCAAAAGACTCAGCTGCATGTTTGAGTTTGTTATCCCCTTTTAAGTGACTGAAACCTGGTAAGTGGCACTGCTCATACTGTCATGGTGCGTTTTCTGAAGTCTGTTGTAGACTTTCTCTGGATTTTCAAGTAATTTCATTCCCTGGCTTTATTACTCCAGTGTTTTAATGCTGTCAGCTTTGTCCAGGGTTTCAAGCAAATTTGTCAGTCTTTGAGTGCTGCCTGTTCTCTGGGGTTTACCTGTGATGGGAGTTGGGTGGGTGTTAATAGCAGCCATGTGTTTGACTTCAGTTGAGCACATGTGAAAAACAAAGCATCTTAAAAAACAAAGCAGCCAAACTTTGTTGTTCATGTGTGTTTCATTTATCTGCTACTTTTTGTCTGTACAAAAGACTCAAGTATCCATGCTTTTTCCTTTTAGAGATGTCTTTAATGAAATGTTAACATGCCACCTAAAGGAGATCAAAGTGCCTGCAAATTTTATGTTAGTTGCAGGGATGCTTCTCTACTTCTACGAGTGAGGATTTTTTCATTTTGTTTTCCATCTTTTCAGCGGAAAGCTAAAATATTTTTCACCATTTCTGTCTTAACAGAGCTTTCTGCAGAAGCCCAGGCAGCATTACGTGAATTCGAAGAGAGGGAAAGGCAGCTCAAACAGGGACGATACGGCTCAAGGAGAGGAGGGCGAAGAGGAGGGTCGGTGATGTGCCATGGAATGGGAGAACAAAGGAGAGACAATGACAGGGGAAGAATGAAGGATCACAGGCCTGCACTGCTGCCAAACCAGCCACCAGCAATGGTACCTTGTAATACTTAGTATTCTTTGAACATCCTTTCAGGAAGTTATGGAGAAATGCATTTTAAGTAATGAGTCTTTGCAAACGTGGAATATATATTCCAATGTAGACCTTCTGCTCTTTCAGAGCACTGTTAGGCAGGATGAGCTCTATGTAATGTGGTGATTATGAAAGTATATGCTTAGTCCTCTTACCAGCTTCATCTTGAGGACTCTAAAGGCCTCCATATGAAAAGGACATTTTGACTTCTACAACACAGACTTACCTCCTGGTTTCCATGAGAATGGAGCGAAAACTTACTTCCTCTGATAAGTCCTCTACATGCAACATATAAACATGTTCAGTCCCACATTGTTAATAGTAATTTAGTTTAAAGATATGATTCTGTAAAGTATTTCTTAGGTTTTGTCAAACCTATGCCAGTCATGCTATTATGGAGGTAAATAAAACTCTAGGAAGATAATCACCACTTCACTATTAGATGAGTTATCTTGGGATTTCAGATGAAATTGAGGTCTGTTACTACTTCTTTTTTATGTGCTTTGTATCACGATCTAAAAGACTTTGTTTTTCATCCAAGAAACCCCAACCCAAGCAAGTGTGTGTAGCCCACACTTATTTTTGTTCACGGTCATAAAATGTACTGAAAGCTGAGACTGTGGAACAAAGCCTCTGTATGTCTTTGCAGGACAAAGTCATCTCTATGAAACAAAGGTGATTTTTTTCCAACAGCAGAAAGCAGGTGCTGGTCACTAGCAGGAGTTGGTGGATGTCTCAGCAGTTGAGAGCCTGCAGTAGAGTATTTCATGCTTTTAGAACAGTGAAGGTTGAATAATTTTTTTTTCTGTTTTCCTGCAGTCATTTCTAGCTGTTTTGATCTTAAGTTTTCTTGCTCATCACAGCATTTTTTTGTGCATACTATGTAGCTGCTTTGCTTTATGTATGTGGCTGCTAAAAAAAATGGTATGTCACATCTTTGTTACTGAAAAGTTGCCTCTTTGGGACTCTTGCACTACCATGGAAGTTGCTGGACTGTACTGGTATCTAGTATCAGTGAGTTCAGGGATAGAAGATTGTCTCTGAAAAGAAACAAGATAATTTTTTTTTCTTAGAACTGATTTTGGCCATTTGTGTTTGTTGAGCAGCAAGAGAGTTTCTTGCATGTTAGGAAAGGTACCCTTGACAGGTATCTTTAAAGTAGTTTTTTTCCTCAGGCAGTATGTGTAGGTGGGCTGCACTGATGTCAGAAGAGTCTGACTTTGTTTGTGTTTTGACTTTTGTTGCTAGTGCAAGGTCTGTTTTCTTAGAGGGTCTCTTCTAGACATGAAACAAAAGTTAGTGGATTTGTTTTGATACCAGGACTCAGATTTGTAGTGATGTTCACATATACCTTATTGTAGTTGGTGATAGTTTCCAGTGACATCTGCAGAACCCTAACAACATACGAAATGAGATAGTTTCACTGTTAAAAATAAGTGAATGAATGTGTTTGCATTCCCTGTGTGCTTCCTTGCTCTTTGTGGTCCTCTCCTTCACATGAATGTCTTCAGTTGCTCTTTTGCTTTCCTGTGCTGATGGTTCTTAAAGGTTGCAGTTGATGATAGGGAAGAGAAGTTTATCAGTTCAAAATTGGCCTTAATTGTTCTCCAAAGGTGTCTTGGTTTTGTGCTCATTAATGTCAGGATATTTTAACTTTAAAGCCTGGTGACTTTGTTCTTTTGTCTGACTTTAGACTCACTCACTGAGGTTAATTCCAACACACCAACAACCTGTTAGGAGTCTGTTCCAGCAGCAACAACAGCAGCAGCAACAACAACAACAGCAACAGCAGCAGCAACAACAGCAGCAGCAGCAACAGTTACAATCTCTGCTTCCTTTGCAGCATCAGCATCATTCTTCTCCTCCTCCAGGGCTACATATGCCCCCTCAGATAGAAACGCCTCGAATAATGATGACTCCACCTCCAGTGACACCTCAGCAACCGAAGAACATACACATAAATCCACATTTCAAGGGGACAGTAGTGACACCTGTACAAGGTGAGCTTTCTGGACAGCTTCCCAGTCATGCAAGTGTGACTCACTCTTTGCCAGAGATGCAACAATTTGTTTGTTTATCACTTCATGAAAATGTGCTTTGGGCTGCTGGTTTTTTGTAAGCTTGAACCAAATGTTTTGCCTGAATAAAGATACAATGTTGTTGGACTGTGGTGGGTTGAAATAGCGAAGCCTTTTCAGCTTTTATCATGTTTGTTTCTCTAATGTAAAGCCTGTGAAGAGCAGTAAAAATGGAAACTGAAAGTGCTTTTAAAAATATTAAATGTCAGTTTTCAAAACTAGGTAAGACTGCAGATTGTAGTTTCCCACATCATTCCAGCTTCAGCCAAGCACTCACAGAATCCCCAGCCACCTGTTTCAGTGAGGGTACTGAGGCACTCCTGGTACTGTAGCTGCTCTGTGAAAGTTGCTGTCCTTACTTGACAATATACATGTCCTCAGTTCTTCTTTCAGGGCCACATTTGTAATTGTTTGATTCACAGCCTGCAAGTACCTTATTTTTTTCTTCCTGTAAGTTAACACATACACTCTTTGGCTGCACTTCTCAGGGTAGCTCTCTGCAAAGCTGTTAACATTACTGCTTACTTAGGAAGTGTTTAATGCCTAAGAGGATAAAAAAAGAGACACCTGCCTAGCTCTGATTTCTTGGGACTAGACAAAGTAAAGAAATACATAAATATTCATACATATTTACTGTTAAATTTTTTGTATTTCCCCCTATAAATCAGCAGAACTCCAAGCCAATGCTATCTTTGCTTCATTTATTTGACCAGTCTAAAGCAGGAATTTGGCAGAGTAGGATATTGTCAGTATATAGATCTATTAGGCTTCTTACAGGTGGCTTCATAGTAGCTGTGTTGTAGAGCTTATTTTGCTTTTCCTTCTCCAGTAAAATCAGCACTTCCTACCAAATTATGCTTTGAGACAGATTGTCTGGAAGCACTCCAGGAGATCCTTTACTCATGGGTTTATGCCTTTCGTGCATTTTTCAAACATTTCCAAAGTAAAAGCTATTGTTTTGTGAGAAGCAAAAACTATTTTTATACTATTCTAGATGTCTCTTCTCTCTCCCTGTGAACAGTCAACAGATCTTCTGTATCTAAGTGAACAAGTGTTCTCTTAATGCTGGTAATGGCTACTGAGGATTTGTGGTTGTGCCTAATGTCAGAGTATTCCAGTGTGGTTTTTAATTTTCTTTCTTTTATTGGAAGGCTTTTTTCACATTACCAGGCAGCTGCAGGTTTGTCTCAGCCTTACCACTACATCTGTGGCACCATGGGTGTTGTGGATGTCTCACTTTATCCTGAGTATAGTCTCTTTTTCTGTCTTGCAGATCCTCATTTCAACAGTTATGTACCTCCTGCAGGTTACGAGGTCTTCAGTATTGGATTTTAAGTGTTTTGGGTTTTTTGGGGTCCTTTTAGATCTTACACCTGCTGATTTTATCTGCACATTCGTTTGTCAACTTGTAAAAGTGTAGTTGTGCTCTTAGACTGGAGAATGAGTGATTGATTTCTGAATGGTGTTAAGACCTGCATTCAGCAGATTTTTGCTATCTGTAGTGATGGCAGCTGGTTCACATGAAATACCTCTGTGCCATTCATTTTACTCAAGGAGTCCTTGGCAAGACTACTGAATTCTTCTGCTAATAGGTGTGTAGCATTCTATTAAATACAATATTTTAAATCCCTGTAGAAATTTAATCTTCTTGATCAGAGACTGTGTATCAGAAGCTGAGTCTTCTGCATTGGCTGAGAATAGTGGCCATCTCAGTCTTAATCTGCAGCAGCACAGTTATGTTACATGAAAGTATATATTCACACACCTAAGGAAAATGTTGCAGGAAATCAGGAGCCTTCTTCAGATAAATGAGCATAATTCTAAAATCTTCACTGGTATTTGCATATTAAGATGAATTTTTAAGCAGTCAGTGCAGGCAAATGGTAGCTAGAAATTCCAGTGTAGAAAGGGCTGTTCTAAATTTCCTCTTAAAAAGACTTTCTCCATTTAATCCATCTGCTTGAAGCCCCAATAGGCAGACTCTGGTGGTTGACAACATAAGGATGTGCTTCATTTGCAGTATCATTTATTTCAGGGTAACAGGAAGTATGAAAGATCAGATTGACTTCATGTTCTTGATGATGTCCTGCCCCTTCTTGGCTGAACACATTTTCAGATACCTAAGGGGTTTTGCACTTTGGAGAATACAGTCAGATAGGTGCAAAGTTTATTGGGATTCTGTTGTTGGAAGTGTGATGCCTGGAAGCTAAAAATGCCATGTCTGGAAGTGCATGATATGCACACTTAGGTTCTGGTAATTTTAATGGTGTGCTGTCATGTTTTAGTGTAGACTGGCATTTTTTCTTCTCTAATTTTATGGCAGGATTAAGCTTACATACTTGTAATTGTCAGCACCAGGGACACTTTTCCTAACTGCAAATCATAGAAATACACTTTTCCAACATTTTTTGGTTTGAGTTAGTCTTGAAATGCTTCAAGTATATCAGTATTTTCTAAAATAGACTCAAACCTCCTGTAAATTGTTATGAAATTTTCATGTGAATAAAATATCATGTCTAAGAGCTCTAGTAGACAGCTACTTCAGCCTGAAAGGGAGTAGAAGCACTCTTGAAGAATCCTATCATTGGCTTATTCCTTTGATGTTTCAAAGGCAAATCTCTTACAGTGGCCACCGTGTCCCTGCCCAGCCTTGAGTCTTCGTTCAAAAAAATAGTTACTTTCAAGTCAGTTTTGTTTCAAATGAATTTCTACTATTTTTAGTCTTTGAAGCTTCATAAATGATTAAGAAGGACTCAGTCTATCAAAGCCTTAAACATGAGCCTCTGTGAGTACCTGCTGCAGGTACTGTGCAGTTGGCATTCAGTTGTGCCTCCTGTGGCATCGGAATCCCATGTCTTTTAGTTGCTTGTCACATAGTTTTCTCTTCTCTTGAATTGTAAGTAGTAACTTTTGCTGAATGCATGTCCAAATTTGAGTATGATCAGTTTACTAACGCTGAAGAACTGTACATAGATGTGCTGTGAAATATTGTGGTAATAAATATTGTGGGTTTTCCCCTTAAATGTTTATATCACAAGTAACTATTTCAGTGATACTGTGGTGCTGCCAAAATTGACATGAACTAACGAGCAGTTTATGGCAGCTTAGTATGCCATTTACCTTTTGAAAACTGTTTTGTGTCTTGGGAAAAATCACATTATAATTCTCCTCCTAAATAATCAATGTGGGAATCGCTTGTTCATCTTTTCAAGTATAGCATTGGAACTTACAGCAAGAAGCAATTTAATCTGCTTAAAAGATTACAACATGTGTCTTACAACATGCTGTGTATTGTTTTTGAAACATACTTTTCAGACATAAGGATTGTTTGACATCAAGAAAATGAAGGCTTATTTGGGACTTCTTTGCTGCTTAAGCAAGGGTCCAAGGATTGAAAGGGCACAGTTTGAACTACTGTCTTTCATAAGTAATAAATTAATTTGTTTAAAATATATAAATATCTCTCTATGTTGCTGCCAGAGGCAGGATGCTGAAATAGACTTGAGTGCTCTGTTCAGTTGACATTTCTCTACATTTCCCACCTTATGCTGTTTTTCTCAGTGCCTCTCTGACCTGTAGTACCTGAACTATTTTAGTACTAGGTCTGTTAAGAGCACCCTGTCAATTTTTTCCAGGTGGCCATGGCTGTTTGATATCGACAGATGTTCATTAGAAGCCAAGATGTGACTATTCAACTCATTTTCTCATGTAATCTGATACAAAGCTTTCACACGGTCCTCCTGTGCTGAAAGACCTCTGCAGTTAGTTTACCCCATCAGTCTCTGAACCAGTAAACCACAAGTACTTAACAAAAATGGATAGAAGCCAGACATGGACATGAACTAAAACCAGCCACTAATGCATTAGTTGTTGTGCCTCAGTTACCAAGAAAAAAGAGATTTTTGAGGCATCTTAGCGAACTCCTGTGTTAGGGAATGCACCCAACTTCTCCCTCAAACTAGCTGCATTTCTTAACATCTTTCTGCTCTAAAGTGTAATACTGTAGTTGTTGACAAAGTCAGTGTTTAACCCTATGTGGAAAACATTTTTCTGTCACTTTCAGAAGTGGTAAAAACAACTGAAGAAGTAGAACCTTACTAAAAGTTTTTAGTAAATGAGCCAACACATTCAGTGCTCTTTGAAGAGCTTTAACTTCTCTAGGCCTTTTGTTAATATGGAAACATTTGTCTCTTTAACCATTTACACAGGTCAGAGAGGAAACTATGCTGGAAAAATGGGAGATCTGTCATTACACTTTGTACTGGGGATTCAGATACAGATTCAGTCCCCAGGGTTGATTTAGCTCTAGTGCTTTGTGCATTGTGCCATAACATTAAGTGAATGTTTTGGGAAGTACTTTTTTGTGAGTAATGTTTTGAAGTGCAGTTGTATGGACAACTAACTCATTCATGTTAATTGCCCTGAAATACTAGTTTTGATGGTTTTCCTGGAAAGGATCTCCTACTTCTTGGTATCTCTTTATGCAATAGCAGTCTTTGATAGGAGATCAGTTCTGGGATCACAGTTGCCTACACCACTGTGGTGGCAAGGCCAGATCAAATAGTTTTTGCTTGCTGTTAACTTTGCTGCCTGCCTCATTTTACCCTTCTGTGAGCAGTGATTTATATCAGTTAGTGTGTCTTATGCCCCTGCTTGTTGTGGTAGGTTGGTGGTGAGACTGGGAGATCCCTAGGAAATGCTGAGTGGTGTGAAGTGGAGAAGGCAAATTAATCATGTGTCCTCCTAGCTGAAACATGAAATGATTGTTAGAGTCTGTCAGCTTTGTCTAAGAGATGTGTTTGGCTGAATAAGTATTCTAGTTTTCCTTCCTGCAACAAGGAGCGATTTAATGCTGGGAAATGCAGAACTAAATTATGCAAATGAACTAGGAGAATCCTAATTGCCCTGTTGCATGTTGCAGGGGAGGGAATGGTTGCTTAAAGTTAATTGTAAGAATTGTGACATGTGAGGGTAAAAGTAGCTCATTTTAAGGGTGGCTTTGTAATGCAACTGCTTTTGGAAATAACAGCAACAACTGTTAGGTAAAACAAATGGTGTTAAAAGGTGTTTCTTGTTTCAGTGCCCTTGCTGCCAGTTCCAGCCCAGCCAAGACCTGCTGTAGGACCCCAGAGATTTCCTGTGAGTAGCAGCTGTTTCTTCCTCTCTGATATGGATAAGCATACATTTGCAAGGAAATATTAATATAGCAAATAAAAGCTGTTCTAGTGAAATATAATTTTAAGGATTTGTAAATATTGACAATACACTCTGCAGTTGAAAATGTTTGTTAAAAGCTTAAGGTCAATGGATTTTTGAGAGTAGAATTAATTCTGTTTAACTGTAAAATTGTTGAACCAGTCTCTCCAGTGGGAGAGGCATGAATGCATCTTGTCTTAAGGAATATGGGCTTCATTTTATTACTTGACTCTTCCTGTATAAATAGAATCCTTATTTTATTTGATATAATAAAAGGCTGTTTGAAATAATCCCTAAGCTTAAAAAGCAGTAATATAAATTTATTGTAAAACTCAGCAATCATTTTTATCATTACTTCAGGCATTTCGGTGCCCTCTGTTTTTTATATAAAAAATGGAACTGGCATTGCATGACCTTGTTTCTAACTTGTAAAACAAACAAGGCACTTAGCTGCTTTGCCAAGCTGATTTCACTTCATAATTTTTTTTAAAACTCTGTGATTGGAAGGAGTGTATGCGTCGAACTTACCTCATCATTTCACAGTTTTATGGTTTAAATGATTTGCAGAGTATCAAAGTAAGCAAAAGAAAATCTAGGTTGCAATATTGCCTTAAATATTTTCACATAAAGACCTGTATATTATGCTTCCCAAACACAAAACCCACAAAAAAATCCTTCTCTGTTGATTGATCTGTGCAGTGTTGAAGGAGGAAAGTAGATTTCTGTGAACATCCATGTAGTATCACACAGTAAATTACTGGCATAGAGATCAGATGTGTTTGAAAGAACCAGATTTCAGAAACCTGCTGTGACTTTTGATTGCTCCTGTGCAGTGCTGGTTGTTTTGGACACAGCAGATTTTTCATATGGGACATGTAGCTGAAGAATTGTGGTGTCCATATTTTGTACAGAAACGGAGTTTTTCAGTTGCCAGTTTCATTAAGTAAATCCATGTTGTATTTTATCTTCAGTAAAATATTTTTGAGCTATTTTCTATTATATCTATTATTTTCTAGAAAGAATATTGCAGTTTTCAGAGGAAATATTTTCTTCAACAGCCTTTAGTATTATGTGCGTATACACTTATTTAGATTTTAAAAGTAATTTAAATTGTTTATTTTTTATGAAAACAAGCGTCTTGCATTTGTTTTCCTTTGACACTAAGTTGATTTGCCAATAAACACAATTTGGGCTGGAAAAGAAATTGGAGCACAAGGAATATCTGTAAAGACATTGTAATTGGCATCTTTGAAGTGTGTTTACGTCAGTGTAGAAAAATTGGAAATTAATGTTTTTTTTTAATTGACTGTGAAAGTAGATATTCTGTTCACGTTTGGTTTTGCAAGTTGAGAAGTACTGCAAACTTAGCTAATCTGTATACAACAGTTGTTATGATGGAATAAAATAAATGGAATACTTTTTGGTAGGACTCCTGCTCCTTTAGCCTGAAGGAAAACCTTGTCTGCTTGCTGCCTTTTTATTTATATAAGCACTGCACCAGAAAAGGCTCCATGTAATTAATTTTTCATAAGGAGGAGGAGGGCTGGCTTGGCTCAGGGGATCTAGCCCTGTCATTTGGTTGCCCTGACTGGTGTGGGTTTTTCTCTACTTCAGCTGGGAACATGCTGTATGACCCTGAGAAAGTTAATTCATCTTTCTGTGACTCACTGAGTTAGAGTGGGTATAAAATGGACTTCCCTTATAAAGTACTTTATAAATTTTGCATGGGTTATCAGTCATATTAAGATTAGGAATTAAGTGTCACTGTGTACATATCTCATGTTTGTTTTATTAAATGTAGTATGTTAGCTTTTGAGCTGAAGACAAATTTACTTTCTGACTAACGTTTTATCTTGCAGAACTCCCTTTTTTGCTCTGTTACATGTCAAATGCCTTTGTGCCATTATAATTCACTTGTTTATGTATAAATGTTGACTTATAGCAGTACAGCAGTGGTTAGACAACTTTGACAAGCCATTTGAAAAAGATCAAAGGCATGTTCCAGACTATAGTTCATTCATCCTTTTCTTCATTGTATAGAGAATCACTGGATATGTAAGAACTTGAATTTGCTCTTGTTTTTAGGATTGCATAATCAAAGGATAATAGTCAACTGATTTTTCTCATTGCTTTGTTTCTAAAGAACTGTGAGGTTAGAATTGAATATTTGCTTTCCCCTCTAACTTAGAAATGGATGGTTTCTTTTGTTTGAATGTGGCAGAGGTGGAGACATGAGAAGTAATGAAATCTTTGCAAGAAAGAGAATAGAAGTGGCTAATGCCCTAACCAAAGGAAAAATTTGTCTCAGAGTTTCTATCTTATCTAGTAGAGAAACCTCTCAGCACAGAGAGGCTATGTGTGCTCCAAATACAGGAAGAGCTTCAATCAGAATTACCAGTCATAAATCTGTTGGAAACCAGGTGTTATTAATTTAGGGCTAATGAAGTGACTTGCAACCATGTAATGGTTAATTCTTACAACCTTCTGCAGAAGAGTTGAACAAAGTTGTAATGAGCATGTTAGCATATGGCACAAGTTCTAAATTGTTGGAAGTAATGTAGTACTACATCAGGGTAGTGTTGGTCAGGATTGAACCTGCTTAGAGTGGGGACTTAATTCCCTTAACCTTGAATCTAATTTTTAATGTTTCAGGGTAGAGCTCATTGTTCAGTCATTTCTTTCTTAAAACTGAAGTCCTGACATGGTTAGAGAAGAAGTACTAAAAAGGATGCAAGGGAATGAATCTGTGTTCCCTAGTTAGTTATTTTAACGTTTACAGTAATCTTGAATCAAGCCATGAAGCTTAAGCATTCAGGGTGACTTAGTGTGACTGATGTTTGGGAGTTATATTCACCTGAGGAAGACTGAATAAATGGTGGATCTGAGGTGTGGCACAGCTGAGAAACTGTAAACTTGTGGTGATAGGGAGTTAAAGACCTGACTGCTGCTGGTCTGAACTGCACAGTACTCTTCAGGTGGCTGTAGTTGTACTAATGCAGTCTTTAAGGATAGTTTGAATTAACCTGGAATTGTGCAGGTGTCAACTGCCTGTTTTCTTTAAACTGTTTAAAGAACAGATTAACTTCTTTGGCAGAATCCTTCTGAAGGTCTTGCTGTATCATCTGCCTTTGCTTTAAAGTGGTTAAGATACCTTTTCCTGAGCTCCTGTCTCAGTGTCACAGTCGATATTTCACAAATAGTCTGCTTTGTTTAAAGGAAGGTGACAGAAAACTTTTTTCACAGATAGCTGTAAGAGTTTAAAACAAGGGAAGAAGAAATTAAATAGAAAATGGTCGAGGTATTTCTAAACACTTTACATGAAGGCTGCTGCTAACTGACTACTACAGAGGCCACATCATTACTGGGTATGAAACTAGAAGCTAAGTTGATGGTCCAGATCTTTTCATCCCTTTTGTGAGTCCACCAGGACATTCTGTGTCTGAAATAATTCAGTGTTTGGCCAAAGAAAAATTTATGAAGAGTTTTGACTTCATGTATTTAACCTAATGAACACTCAGGGAATAGTAGTATGTGGCACATATGTGCAATTTTTTAAGGACATACAAAAGTGGAAGAAATGTTGTCGCTCCCATTTTGGGATAGAGGATGGCAGAGGGAAGGTGTCAGGGTTCTTCAGCCAGAAACTGTGAGATATCCCTAACATCCAGATTTGGGGCTGGAGAGGGGCCAAGCTACTCTACTTGGTGTGGTGTGAGCTGGGCAGGTGTCCATCCCACAGACACATTTCATTAACTTTAGTTAACTTGAGTTCTAGAGCTGAAGTTGGGAATGGTTTGAAGTGGCACAAAGCACAAGATGTAGTAGCACTAGTGTCCACCTGACTAATTTGTGCCAGGAAGGCTTTGCTATTTTTTAATGCACAAAGCTTTTCTTTTTTGATAGGCCACCTTAGTTGGTGCACTGGGTGCCTTTCAAGTAACTGTTGGATGCCAGTCTGAAAAAGTTGAATTGTGTAATGTAAATTCTGTTTTATTCAGTATTTTTAAGACTTTATTAAATAGAGTGAGTTGTCCTCAGGCTCTTGTTGAATATTCCACATCGCATGTGTTTTCGGTTCCCAGGGGATTTTGACATGATTTGTTTTTGGAACTTACAGCTTCTTTTCAAAATCATCTTTATCTCAATACATGATTTTTCTCCCCTTAAACTTCAGAAACCTTAGTAAACTTTCTTTATATTCTCATTCTCCATACTTCCACTTGATCTGCAGGTCATCAGGTGTTGTCTTAAATGGATGCCATGAAAAGGCAGTTGGCTAGTTTTGTTGCATTTTTTGCACTATTTCTGGAAACTGTAGTTTGAATTCTGAACTTTCAAGTGTTTGTGATTTGGACACAGTTTTTAAACACTTTATGCTTTAATCAGTGAGAGGTTTTTAAACAAGTGACCAGTCATTGCTCAAAGCAGAGGTCATTGTCCTTCACGGCCACTAGCTAGAAACATTTCTTTTTAAAAAGCAATGTATTAGTGTTATACAAATTAACTATAAAAGGTGCATTAGAATACAGTTTATTTATTTTTCCCCATGTGGTCCTTGTGCTAACATGGATCAACCTACAACATCATTTGAGCAAACTTGGGTTGGTCTGATGGTATTACAGTGCACCTGGGTCTGTGGCTGCAGAAGCAGAAATTTGTGGTCCTTTAGGCAACAAAACTCCTTGCAATAGTATTTGGTGTTCATTGTGGGAAATGCAAACAGGGAGTAAATTTTTTCTCCCATTGTTTCAAATGCAATCATGAGTTGCCACATGCAAGGGTTTTTTTAGCAGCTGTTATTAAGGTGATGGCTCATAGTGTACAGTCCTCACAGTAAGGACAAGTTATAAACAGTCCTGCATCTAAGAGCAGTCATTTAAAAGTGATATTTAGTAAGTCATACATGTTTGCAACAGTACATATGTAGGGGACAAACTGATAAT